CGGCCGCCACGCGCCGCCGCCCGCCAAGCGCCGCCCGCTGTCGCAAACGCGCCGCCCGCTGTCGCAAAAGCCGGCCTGCGACACAGCGCCCCCTGCCGGCCCGGACCGCTTTGCACAGCTCTGAGTCCCCACCGCCACCACCCCAGGGCCGCAGGTTGCCCGCCCCGCTCGCAGCCCCCCAGCACCATGCTTCCCCCCGTGGCGCGTCCCACCAGTGCCGTCCCATCCACTGGAAAAAAATAGGGGGTGTTTTATTAGACATCGCAGCCTTGCAACAAACCCACTTTGTCTCTGACCCCGACGCCTGTTGCGAGCCTCCCAGTTAAACCGCCTTTTTCCAGGACACTCGCAGCGGTCTTCTCGAGGCCGTCTGCTCCGCTCCTAGACGCCGCGTGCGCTGGAATCGTTTCAAGGCCCCTGGGGAATTTTACAAAGCTGAGATGCCCGAATTTGCCGGCAGGGGTGGAGGTTGGAGCAGGGTGGGTCTGAGGACACAGAAGATTCACCCAAACGACCTGGTCTGCCTGTCTTTTAGACCAACTTAAATAGTTGGGAAAGTTTTTTCTTAGCAAGTTTTTGGGTTTAAAAACCCATGGTCAGGCTGAGGAAGCCTCTGCAGCCGGTGTGCGCGCTGTTCCTGGAGGGAACGAATAGTGAAGAGGCGAAAGGCTGCCTTTCTTGCATGCAGACCAGCCTCTGGTCCCCGTCAAAATGCTGTTGCCAATGTAATGTTTTGTAAATTAACGTTTCACTATAACGCTCGGGGGTATCCCCTGCAGCCGCCCCTCAAAAAAGATCCTCTGCCAAGCACGTCAAAATCCCCTGACACTAACCCTGGCAGCCCTGATTCGGAGTGCTGAACAAAGCAGAAAGAGCAAAAAGTGAAAGTGAAAACGGTTCATTACTTTATTTTATAATTTTATACGTTAATTCAAAGTTCAATGGGTTAAACAAAGCATTTACATGTCTGAATTAATTGATTTTATAGTAGTAGCAGGGGATTTATAGTACAAGTGGGGACCCCTGGGAACAAATTATATTTATTTACGTTCATTCCTATGGGAAAATCCGTTTCACTTAACACTGTTTTGCTTAGCGCTCGGTTTTTCCAGATCCAATGAAGAGCGCTAAGCGGGGGTTGCCTGTATAACAAAAAGATGTATGGATACTCTGTTTGGAGGTTGTTCATTCCTGGCCAGTTTGAAACTGCCCGAGAGGGATTCTCTCAAAGGATAAAAGGTCACACCAAGCGATACTCAAAGTACGTATGCAACAGAACTAACCCTTGTCTACATCAAAATCTATAAAGCACCACAGTGAAACCTCAGTCCGTATGGTACCTCTGCTCTCCCACATGTACTGTGAGTTGGGATAAACTGACATTTAAATTGTTCCATATAACAATCTCCTATGCAGCTGTGTTGAAGGTCTTTAACTGTAGGTGAAACCGCATTGATAACACAAAACGGCTGTGCATACAGAGCAACCAAGTAGAAAACATTACTCTTCCGAATAATGGGTAGCTTTCCATTTCAGAGCTTTCTTTTCTACACCAGAAGAACTTATAAGGGAGTTGTGAGCAGGAGTGGGAGGAATGAGGTGAAAAAAAAAATTGACCTTCAACTTTACTGGAAAAGAAAACCTTGTGAGGGATTGCAAAGGAAGTAGTGTTGGGATGTTAAAATGAATTGTTAATTTGGCTTATTTTGTGATAGTGTGTGATTTCTGATAATCAGCCTGGAGGATCAATGTAACACAACATGGAAATCTGACAGGCGTCATCTGTCTGCGTGCCGAGTTATGAGAGAGAGATTTATTTGTCTATTTCCCATAGCTAAATGTCATGGCATTTGGCATTATGGCAGTGTAAGCTCTGGAGATTGGCCTAATTCAGATACATTATTGAAAATCCTATCGTTCAAGGAAGGGGAGTGAAGAGCTACCTGGAATGCTAGATTCCATTCGTGCACAGAGGTGTGCATGCACTGTGGTAGCTGGAAGCTAAATGAGCGTGACTAGTGGGTGAGGAACACTGATGATTTCTCATGGGGAGGGAGAAATGCATCCAGTCACAGGAGTGCTGAAAGTGAATACTGTACTGCTGCCCTTAGGAGAATTAGATGCTGGTTACGAGATCCACATGAGTTAGGGGAGGAGAAATTTAATTTTCCCTACTTGATTACATTGGGCTACTGCTCCAGAGAAGTGTTAAGAGCCTTCCACTCCACTACATTTAACTCTAGTTCTTTTTGCAAATCTGAATGCTGGAAGCAACTGAAGATTGTTCATACCTTGTCCTATGGATCCTCCTAGATGGATGTATGCTGTAGTGCACATCAAGGGCTCAGACATTTCTACACCAGAACATTGGAAGGAAAAAAAGTACATACTTTTTTTTTTTTGTGCCATTTCACTTTTACCAGACTTCTCCCTGAATGCAGATATTCTGCAATTTCCTTACATTGTTTGAAGTTTCGACCAGACCAGCAAGTCTTAAAACAGGAAGCTCACTCCTCTGGACATAGGCATCTACTACAGAGAGACATCCCTACGGTTTTTCATAATGCTCTCTCTTTGTAGACTGAGGAGTCAGGACCCAAGTGGCTAATACACTAATTTAGCATCCTGAAGGGCCTACGCTGAATTACTGAGACTTTTCACTGCAAACCCTTATTTATGAAGGCTTTTGTGCCAGGAGCACTGTCTCCATCATAAGCGTTATAGCCTGTTCTGCAGTTTAATTAATAAACCCGGCCACATGCAGTTTAAAAGTACCTTGTGTTCTTTTAGAAAACCACTTATGAGAAAGCCAAACAACTCAGAAAGTGAGGGGAGCAAGTCTTTATTTTTGGGGGCAGGGGAAGGGGGAAAAAAAAAATCTTTAGTCAAAAGCCATTCCAATAGGGGGTAGGAAAAAACCCCCAAAATAAAATCAAGCCAAGAAATAGTTCCTTACAAATTGTCATGAAATGCCAATATTCAAACTGTCACTGTATTTCAATACATATTGATCATTTACAGCTCAGTGGAGTCCCCTCAAACATAAAATTTTACTCCCTCTTTCTTGCTAGCCCCTAGTCTTAAAAAGTCCCCATGCTCATCTGGCCCTTACCAGTTGAGGAGTCTCATCCTCAAACAACATTTACAGTGTCCTGCATGCCACCTGGCTGCATCTGGAGGCAGTGACTTGGGCAAAGGTTCTTCCCCTGCTGGGAGATCAGTCAGATTTCTCCTTCTCTTTCATGTGCAAAAAGACGATGCTGAACAAGAAGAGGCCTACCATCATGGAAAAGGCACTGGCATAATACGGGTATGCGGAGGGGATAAAACGCTCGTACTGCGTGTGCTGCAGGGGACGCACAGACACCTGGGAGCAGAAGACAGACAAAAGAGGACATCCTTCAGTTTACATGCAGGACCTCATGCTAGCATGTAATCATTTACAAACCTCTTGGCATGATTCCCCCACTCAGGGTACTGTAGACCCTTTTCAGCCAGGTTCCAATAATTATAATTGGAATTATAATTTCCAGCCCCCACAACACACATCCAAAGAAGAGAATTTTTTACTGTATTTACCTGAGTAGAGGAGTATAAATGGGTATATCCCAGTCTATTATAATCTACTTTAAACTGAAAAACTCCATAGACATCTGGCAGTTTGAACTGTACACTGTACTTGCCACCTTGGAAAGAGAAAAAAAGGTCATGTAAATAACTCAGTAAATAGACCAAAGGTAAAAGTAAAAAATAAAAAAAATTCTCATTTGGGAATTCTTTTCTCAGTTCCCTTCCACCTCATGGCCCTGCACCTCCCTCTCCCCAAACCCATTTTGCGGCGTTAGTCCTCTGGAATCTAGTTGCTCCTGCTAATGGAACAGCTCTGCAGCAAAGCAATGCAAAGCAAACCCTTCCTTCTTGTAGTCAGACATGCCGTCTGTGGCTATTCCATACATTATCTCAGAATAGCCTTTGTTCCAACTAATCGTACTATTAGTGAGATACGTTTCCATGGCAAGAGGAGAGAGAGGACATGCCCAGTTTTGTCACTATCAATAGGTTTTAAATCCCTAAGGCTGGAAATGTTCGCTCGTCCAAGGCAACCCAAGGCTCACCATTTCTCTTCAGAAAAGTCCTGACAAATGGGTCAATGCGAACAAATTCCAGCTGAATATCGTCTCCATCAAAGGGAACCCACTTGCCATCAGAGAGTTTCTCAATCACAATGCTGTACTCCTGAAACACACAGGCCAGTGCTGCATTAACAAAGACCTACAGGACAAAGTTTCTGAACAGAAGAGGTATGTACTGCATTTCACTAACAGGGATATCTGAAAGCCATTTCACTTTGGAGCTAATGTGCTTGTAATGCTGCACTCTGTCTTGCCGTGCAGGAACTTCACTGCACCAACAAGCCTTTGGTAGGTATACTCAGTGTGGAGCAGACTTCCCTTTAAACATGCCACATTTAAAGCTTGGCAAGTGTGCCATGGTTAAAAGCTTTTCCCCCACTCCTACCACAAGTTTTATAGCTGCAATTTCTACACAGAGCAGGAAGGCATTTTTAACTTCCTGGCGTGTACTATTCATTTTTACTTTGAAAACTGATGCCAATCTCCATTATTTAACGACACTGTGTGAAGTCAAAATTCCAGAACATGCTCTGACTGCCTCAAGTACTTGTAGAGAAGTACTCTGAAAGAAAACAAGTGGGATCACCTGTTCAACAGGCTTGGGTAATACTTAGAACAAGTCAAGGGCTTCTCCAGAGCTGGCTGCTGATGCCATTTAATATTTCATGATGTTCTCATATGAGCCAAGATGGACAAACTCCGACATGTACTGCTAAACAGGGTCCAAAGGTGTAGCAGATGCTATCCTCAAAATTAGAGAGATTACACATCAAGAGCTTTCAATACCTACAGCTATCTAGAACCAATTAAAATTGAAGGGAGAAAGCCCCCAAATGATTCTATTTCTCTCCCCCCCCGAGCATTCCTCACAGCGATTTTTACGCTGTAGTTTTTGCAGCTCTGGGTCTCAGTCCTAGTGGGGGGAAAAAAAAGCCTGCTTCCACATTTCTCTTAGCCTGAAGAATAAAAGTTCATCTGCTCTATAAAAGTCCAGTACATCTCTCTGCAGACAGTCTTACCACAAGGTCAGTGACAGTGTAGGCATTAGGTGGTGCAATCTCTCCCACACGATGGTGAGACACTTCTCCAACCCGCAGCACACCCTCTTCCTTGAATACCCAGCGGGACAAGGCAACTGCCAACTCATAGTTACCAGTCTGGGAGTACCTATGTATATAGCAAGAGGTTGAGAATGAGGCATGATGACAGCCACTGCACAGAGTGCCATTCACACAGGCAAGTTATTACTGGAGCTGAAAGCAACAAAGCTGGCCTGGATTTATATATAAGAGAATGTTTTTCCAAGCAGATTTCTTCTAGAAGGGCAAAGGACCATATCAGATAGGCCCTCATCTTAAATGACTACTTTACTTCACAAATTATTCTATACACCCTAACAGTCTACTTACTACTGAGTAATCACTTAATCCAGCGATATGTTTTAATGCCTCTTAACTGAGAAGATTCCCAGCCTAATTGCTGATGGGATTACTGATGTTCAGAGTATAATATTGCACAACATTTTAAGACAACCATATCTACAACATTATGAATCTTTTTTTTTTTTTCAGCATCTCTGAACTGAGCAGTTGCTTCTTCCCTTCTTAATATAAGGTAAGGACAACATCATATTGTTTAGACAGCTCAAGAATTTACTCCAAGGCTGAAAGAAAATGGGTTATCATAAAGCTTATATAGCAAAGGGAGTAATGTAGCACTTAAGGGAGTTAAGTGCACAATGTTAGTGTATCTTATATTCTTGTTAGAGACAATTGGTTCCAATCTCCCAGTTTCTCTGATCAAACAGCTATTAGAACCACTCAGAGAGAACAGCTCCAAGTGCCCATGGAGGATATTAAGTTAGTATACCTCTTAGAGCCAGGCATAGCTTTCTGCACAGCAGAGTTAAAGAAAGCATCACTGAAAAAATCCAAGGATCCACTGAAGACAACACGGGCATTGTTCCTGGCCTGGAGACCAGCAATCAAAAGGGTGTTCTTCCCGACAGCATGAGGATACTAAAATGGAAAAGACAGGATAAGAATAGATTTAAATAATTCATTTTGCTTTGATCAAGCTAAATGCTTATTTGCATTATAGTAGCACATAAGGTTCTGATTTCAGTTGAGGCATCTGAAGCAGCAGGCGCTGCAGGCATAACAAGAGCCCTTTCTTATAATGTAAAGAGGAAACACAAGGCATTAGAGGAACCAGATATAGAAAGGCAAAGCAATAACAAAAATGTGTATTAAAGCAAACTAGCCAAAAGCTCACCTTTGCACACTGCTTTAAGCTGCTTTTTAAGCAAACAATGTAGTTGCCTGACACATTCACCATAGGGGTTAAACAGTTAATAGTCAGGTCAGTTAAACAGTTACCAGTCAAGTCAAACACCACTGCAATGTCTTTAGTAGAAATACTATGGTGTGGCTGCAGCTAAACACAATCCAAATTAGGCTTTCAAGGATTAGAAAATATTTCTTAAAGGGAGCAGTTTTCAACCTTTTAAGATTCAAGGCACCCCTCAGAAAATGTCAAGTCTTAGTTTTCACTCACTTTGAGCGCAGAAAAATAATAGAATAAGTTTACTCAGAAAGACCACAACTGATCAGAACGTTTTATTGTGATGGGTTCCTATTTGCAATCTGGATTTCTCTCGTGAATCATGTCTGCACACCTAATGGTACTAATACTGTGCAGCACCCTTGGAAAAAAAAAAAAAAAAAAAAAAATCTCACGGCACTCTCGTTGCAATATCACTGTCTTAAAGAAAAGCATCTGCCTGTTCAAATAACTATTATGAAATGTCATAGTAAACAAGCAGAAATCAAACTAGTTTCCTGTCAGTTAAGTCCTACTCATGTCAACCCTCAAGTATCCTTTTTCCTCTGAATTGTTGTGTCAGTAAGTTGAGACGCTGTCAACTACTCAGGTTAATTGAAGCATGAGACTTCACCACATGCTGAGACACTAGAGCATCCAGAATGTATTACCTATTGCTTTTTTTTTTTTTTTAAACCCTTTGTCTACTACAGCTTCAAAACTAAATAGAAGAATGTTGGTGAGGATGGGTTAGTCCAGTCTCCATAGCCAATTGATCCTTACTAGAAATACCTCATTTCACACTGGTCAAACAAACTGCAATGTAGCAACAAGGCTGGAGTATCATCAGCCTGCACTGCACTGACCCAGCAGCCTAGAAGCAATGTGTTCCAAATCCCTGGTCTGCCAAAGCAGCAATGGATTGGGAGCCTTTGTTTCCGCCTCACTATTTTTATCTCAGTTCCCTTGAAAGACGACTATTTTTTGGAATCTATTTTGCTGTAATCAATATTAAGACTTGTGATCTCATCCAGCTTTTTCTATTTGGATCCAGTTTATAACAAAACCGCAGATAAAAGATTTCCAAGAAAGTATGAGAATGCAATACGGAGCAGTGCCATGAGATTACAGATGTTGAATTCCCCTGTACCTCAGTGCAAGTGTTGTATCTCTTGATCAATTTTAAACTACTGAACCAAGAGGAATGAATATAACCACATAAAAGAAACTGGACAAAAGGTAATTGAACATACCTGGTTGATGGGCTTGTCAGGGAAGAAGGAGTATGAGGTAGAAGAGCCAGTTAGGATATCCAGTACCAGAGGGTTATCAGGATCAGCCACCATCCTGTGGGGAGTGAAATAGGGGAAGTAACAGGAAGATATTTCAACTAGAAACACCTCTTTCAAGAAGATAGTGCATGCTCCTCAAGTTCTGATTAAACTCCACAAACACACAATTCAGAGCTTGAGAATAATGATATTGATTCAGTTCCTGATACAGCTAGTGGCAAAACTTCCACTAATTTCAAATTAAATCCTCAGTAAGCCAAACTGACTTGTTCGTTTCTTTTAAAACTAATGTAAGTGCTGAGTTGTTTCACACACACCCCACCCCCATCAGGGTTTGACCTGACAGCATTCAAGAATCACCTTTTACAGAGTCTAGGATTAGAGGGTTTTTGTTTTAAATTCAAACAGAATCTTTACACACAAACTGGACTATGTGGAAATGAAAGAATTTGTATTCTTTGTTCACAGTTAGGGAAACTAGAGTAAACAGTAGAAAGCAACACAGAATAAGAGCTCTGTTTCAATGATCACATGCTAATACAAGTTAAAAATTAGTTTATAGAGTATGATAATAGCAAAAGCCTTATAGTTCGCTTACCCAACTCCTCGGAAAAGAATGGGGTTTAATGGACTCTTCCCCACTATTGTAGGAGCCTTCAGAAGATTTTCAGAGTCTGCAACAATGAGCGTGTGCTTTAGGGAAGAGACAGAAGAGACTTTCATTAAAGCTTTTACATGCTTCTACAGAACACTAGGAACTGTTAAGCCCACTTTTGCTAGCTGATAGGCCACTTCATTACAGCTTGTTCTGTCCTGCTGCAGGCACTTTGTGGCTAGTGACTGCACAACACAGCACCTCATGACACTTTGCTGCTTTCTTTCTGGTGCTTAGAAGTAGCATTAATTGACTTGACAGTCATCTTCCCCTTTTGGTCAGAAACAATTTGTGACACTGGGCAAGAGAATGAAGATGGTAAGAATGGTCAGCACGGACTGAGCAGTATCATAATTTAAACAGCTGATTAATCTTATTCTGCATGCTTACCTTTTATAGTTAATTTCCTTTAAAAAAAAAGCTGATTCTCAGAGGCTGGTAGCCATTAAATATTAGCTTACAACTACAGCCCATAAGCTAAGTTTGGTATGTTCTACTAGTCAGGCAGGTAAGTTACATGTAACTGAACAGTCACCCAGTTTTCTCAGTTTTACATTTTATTACATGCTAAAATGCTGAATGATGTCTCTTGTTTATTAGAGGGCTAAATTTTATTTGTGTGTGTCAAACTGCTTTAGGATGGAAGCTGCAATTCACAGCAAATGCAGAAGTTAGCATTTCAGTAGTTAAACGAACAGTTAATATCAAAACAGGTTTTACACTTAAAAAGGATTTATTCAACAGAGAAAGTATTGTGCATCTGATGAAAAGAACTCTTACTCACAAAAGTTTATACATCCGATTCAGTTGGAAGCGTAGAGATGCACCTTATAGCCTGTATAATTCAATAATACTCAAAGCAGGTATGTAAGATAGTCTTGGGAGAGAGCATGGACAAGGGGTGAAGGCAAGAGGAAGATGGGAAAGATTCTTCTTTACAACTAACCAAAAACCTCCTTTTCCCTCCAACAAAAAGCAAACATTTCCCAGTAACTTGTGCAGTTACAACGCGTTTCCAAAGGAGTGGACACACCCAAAGAATCTGGCAAAGACTCACCTGGCCTGGGTCTGAGACATCGTAGTTGTGATGGTCAATCACGGCTGTCCGCTCCTCATCAAACTCTATTCCACACTCACTGCCCAGTTCTCGCAGAGGGTCACCTAAAAGAACAAAGACGGGTTGCTATTTCTACACTATTTACAAAAAGGCTCAAAAGAAAACTAAAGGTAATTAAAATAGAAGTAGCAGACGCTGGTGCTGCAAACTGAACATTTTACAGCTAGCTGGAGGCACTCACGACACACCTCTGCACCCAACTTTCATTTGAAAAATACAATTAAAGCTTTTTTAATAAAAACTTTGATCACTACCAACTTGTTCCAAAGTCTTTGGGTAAATCATCTGGCCTCCCGTGCCACAGTTTTCCCATCTGCCTAACAGGAACAGAAGCGCTTTGTAGTTCTTTGTTACGAGAAGGCTGCAGCCAGAGGGCTAAGAGCTCTCATGTCAAGGAAAACTTGAACCACCACCCTGCGTCCAGAAAGCTGATGCTTTCATGTCTAGAGCACTTCTGTTATGCAGCTGCAGAAAGCAAAGCCATAGTTTATACCAATTCATTTAATGTGTCATTCTTACTGACCAATGTCTGAGCTGGCAGCCACAAGGACGCTTCCGCCTCCATCGATGAAAGCTGTGATGGTCTCCACATTGATATTTCCTCCAAAATCTTAAGAGACAAATGCCAGTCACTTGTGAGTCCAGCAAATGACAGCATGATACTTTATCATTGTTTGGACCAGGGAAGGAGAAAGAGGTACAAGGGTGCTGAGGGAGACTGATAAGGAAGTTGTGCCAGAGCGGTAGGGAAGACAGTGGACTTGGCTTCAGCCCGAAGGCAGGGAACTAGCTAGTCAACATCGGCTGCAGAGAAATAACCATTAAAAGCACTCGGGACATATTTCAAGCTTTCTTCCGCCCACCTCATCCCAAAATACCACTCTGTGTTTTAATCCATTTGCATAGAAATTGTAAATTTTCAAGAGTATAGTGAGGAACCAGTAAGACAACACTCGTGAGCTGTCAGCAAACGCAAATCTAACTTCTTCTCTGCGCTGGGAAACCGCAAGTAAAAAACTCATTCGTTCTATTCTCCAAAAACTTCCAAGTTAATTTTTAAATTTCAGTTTAGCGACAATAACCCAGACATACTGGTAAGGCATATCAGTTAGAGAAGCTTGCACCTCTGCAAGGTAGGACACAGTGAAAACGCTCTTCTCTTGACTAAGGAAGGGCAGCTAAAGAGAAAGACGAGCATTTAAGGAACAAGGGGAAAAAACTCTGGGGTTCAGAATAGAACAAACGAACATATACAAGTCAGCTGTAATGATTTAAAAGGGATCCCACGTATCATTAAAGTGACTTCTTCCCGCACAGCCCTGTGAATTACCTCCTCTACAGAAAGGGAGCATCCCAAGCGGACCACACGACCTAGACGAGGAGCCTTGTGGGATCAAACACCCCAGTGCCAGGAGCGCAGCGACCAGCCTGAGCCCAGCACGTGGGGGCGAAGGCCAGCGCGAGGGGTCGGCGCCGAGACCCACAGGCCACGTAACGCGGCTCCACAGCTGGTCCCCCACCCCGTGTTTGTGTTTAGGCGCTAGGCAGGTCTCTCTCCAGCCGCGAAACAGGTGCAGTCAGAGCCTGGCCCCAGCAGCACGCCGGAGACGAGCGACCCGCGGAACAGCAGGGGCGGCACCGAGAGCTCCCCTCACCTTCTATGGAGGGCGAGAAGATGATGAGGTTATCGTACAGGAACTCGCCGTACTTGATGAGAGACAGGCCGGGGTCGTCCGCCGTCCTGAACGCGAGGTCGAAGCCTCGGTCTGCGCCCGCAAGAGACAGAGATGAGGTGGGGGAGCAGAGGTCCCCCGGGGTGCCCATGGCCTCTGCCCCCGCAACCCCAGCAGCCCCTCACGCCCC